TGAACCATTGCTTCTAGGGAAAAGACAAGGTTAAGTTTCTGAGAGACCAGTCACAGCATAACATCAATGACTCAATACAGAGATTCATTTTATGTGTGTTTTTATTTATTGATACATTATTTACTGTACAATGTAGATTCAGAAACTTTGAACTCAGGCCAACAGCACTATAGTTCATGCCTAAACAAAGCTTATCTAACACCTCATTTCTCCATAAAACGTATCACAGTCTTCTTGCACTTGGGGACACTAGACAGCACTTTAGGACTACACTTAGAGATTACTTTAAACAGCAAAATCACCAACAAAAAGCACAAAAATATGAAAAAGACACTTCTTTTTAGTCTGACAACTGAAACAAGAAGGCAGAGCACTGCCTTGTTAAACCATAGCTGGTAACGTACTCATCAGGTGACAAATTTCTCACCAATTTCTATATGTCCACGAATGATCAAAAGTGTCATGAATATTGATTTAGGGGTTACAATAAAATTTTACTTAATGGTGAGTTTGTAAATACAGAATCTGATCATCATTAGGATTGTTCTAGAGGGAACAATAAAGACTCAAATTCAAACATATTCTACTGAGATTCTTTTTTTAAGGCTTAAGTAGGACAATGAGGAACAAACAAAAAAATCATCCCTGGATGAAAGAAACGATCAGCATGAGGGTGAAATGGTGTCGTAATAATTTTAGAGTTATGTGACTAATCATAGATGAAGGAAAACAAAGAAAACCACCACAAAAGCATGATTGGTGGCAATTCATCACTATAGCAGGTGGGACTCTGAAGAGGGTTGGAGAGGACGATGATTGTTATAATTTGCAGGCTAAAAAGACTTACAGGGTTTGCTCACCTGGTTACATAATTGGGGTATGACTCATGACCATAAGGTCTTGATTCATAACCACCAGGACCCCAACTTTTAAATAACATGCAGCTATTTTCAGTAAATCACTAAGGACATACCCAGGCAAGTTCCCTGATTCTCTGGGCAAGACTGGGGACAAAACTGTCCCTCCTGGGAGGTTTAATCTACTTTCCTACACACTCTACCTGAAAGTAAAACTATCACATTAGTGGTAAGAAAGAAGTTTGAAATTATGTCAAGACTCAAAATGGAGCTACGGTTCCCACTGTAGATCACAGCCTTTCACAAACCAAAGGCTTTAGAATTTAAGCAGAAATTCAGCATCAACTGTGTTGTCAAAAATATGTAATTCCCTTTTTAATTTATCAAAAATTAGGTACTTTGTAGAGCTTGGCCTGACCTGTCACTTTCATCTTGACTCCCCGCCCCATGGGGCACATTGCTGACAAGAATACTTTTTTTCTGAGAAATCCCTGCTCTATTCCTTTTGTACTAATGTTTACATCACCATTCTGGAAGAATTCACACTTAAATCCTTCAACTTTCACTTAAATGAATATTTTATGAATTCTTGAAATTGATGACTCTTGAAGCTAACTAATTAGGGAAGACCACATCTTTCTGTAAAATATGGAGTAATTCAGAGACAATGCCAAGGTCCCCAGTGCTTTCAGCTCTTTAATAACCTCCTCCAGCTTTCCATTCTCCCAGAAAGCCTGTATCCCTCAAATCTACTCCTGGAGTTCTAACACTACAACTAATCTGAAAAACAGGACCCTAAATTCATTTATCTACATCCCCTCTTCTAATTAAAATGCATTCAGATTTCATTTAAACTGCACAGAATCCAAGACTTTTCTATATTGGGTTTTCCCTTTCTCCAAAGAGTTTAAGATGATAATTTTTACTTACACGCTTCTTTTGGTTGCTTTGATAAGCATTCCTTGAACAACTCATCTGAATTCCACAAGTAAGGAAGTAAGTTGTGCACCCTGGAGCTGGTTCTGACTCAGCAACTCTGTATAGGGTTTCTTAGGTTGTAAATCTTTATGGGAGCATAAGCACTGACTAAATACAAGTCTTAGGCAAGATGCTTACTTGGAAACTGGATATATGTTCAAATAAATCACATATGGTTTGTCTTTTTTTTTAGTTTTTATTATGAATTGAGTAAGAGTTTACATGAGAGAACATCAGCTTTATATTCATCCTATCATATTTCGTTTCATTGCAATGTTTACAATCGTCTCTATGCATCATCATTCAACAGCATTTGCTTCCATTCTCTCTGGGTCTTTTTGTTGTTT